TAACAGGAAGCCAAAACAGGAGAAATATGCTCTCTCTTTCTAGTCCCTGTCAGGACTCTTGCTGCAGCATTTTGGATTAACTGAAGGCTTTTCAGTGAGTTTTTTGGACATCCTGATAATAATGAATTACAGTCGTCCAGCCTGGAAGTAATAAATGCATGAACTAGTTTTTCAGCTTGTTCATGCTGAAAACATGATTAGTTCAGTACATGAACTACATGAACTACAGGTTGTACTAAAACTACAGTAAAAGGCAGATTACACCCTTGAGATTTAAGTGAGATAAAGAGCTCACTCAAGATTTTCCACAGTACTGTAAAATATCTGGCAGTAAAAAATAATAGTCACTTAAAACTTCCATAAATAAAGGAAGATTGTAACATTAGGCCACTAATGGATTTATTGATCTGTTGTTTTGTTTTGTTTTTAAAAAAAGGTGTACAGATAAACTTCTGAAAATCAGCATGACTCAAATGTTCATTCAAACAATAAAAATGTAATAAAGCACCTGCACTCACTACGGTATAAATGATAAAATAGAAACTGACCTTGAACACAGTTTTCCCGTATTTGTGTAAGAGTCTTCTCTTTACTGTAGTTTTTCATTCTTTCATTAGCATGAATATCGTTGTCGATCTTTGAGCGAACAAAGTAGAACTTTTTCTTCATCCTCTGAATCTCCTGAGCGAGCTTTACATCATTTTCTTTAAAGCGATCGGCTGAGATGATGATGAAGAAGTCAAACTTCTCAAATCCAACAAGCTTCAGGTACTCATCAGCTGGAAACTTGGTGGTGCCCATTCCAGTAAGATCCGATAGAGTGACATTGGGATAATTTGGAAGGGGGTATGGTGTGACCTCTGAGGTGGTTTCTACAACACCAGTTGGAGCAGCTCCCTCGTCACCATCTCTCAGGCCTCTGAAGGAATTAATAAAGGTGGATTTACCAGAACCAGTTTCTCCTGTGATGGCAATATTTAGTGGAATATTCTTTTGGTCTTCTAAAAGTTCTTTAATCTTTGAAACTGCTGCAGGAGCGTCATTGTTCTGCAGATCATTTCTTACTGAGTCATACAAAATGTCCATGTCGATCCTTAAATAAAAGAAAAATACAATGACTGTACAAGATCATTTTTTACTGCAGATAAACCTCCATGGTGATCCTGAAATAGGAAACGCTGTTAAAAATCACTGCATTATTTTTAACTGTAATGCCTGACATCAAGACACCTACCAGTGGCTAGAAAAGGAGCAAAAGAACAGGCCGTATGCACCTACTCCATAGAGGCCACAGAGTTTCCATCTGATATTTAGACTTTTTATCTGATTTTATCTTTTATAATTATTGTGGGTGATTTTAACATCCACATAGATGCTAAAAATGACAGCCTCAACATGGCATTTAATCTATTATTAATCTATTATTAGACTAAATAGCTTCTCTCAAAATGTAAAAGAACCCACCCATCAGGGGTCTCAAACTCCAGTCCTGGAGGGCAAATCTTGAGGGCCGGTGTCTTGAAACTTTTCAGTGTGTCCCTGCTGCAACACACCTGAATACAATTAGTAGGTCATTAGCAAGAGTATGCTGAAGTGTAACCCCTAACCCTTCTCAAGTCAATGTAAGTGTTTGGAAAAATGTACTTCTAACAGTACTTTTATTACACCATGTTCATTCACTCATGAGCTGCTGTAACATGAATCAAATGCATGAATTGCCACCTCAGCATCCAGACAGGTTCTACTGAGTCTTGCTAATGACATACTAATTATATTCAGGTGTGTTGCAACAGGGACACGGAAAAGTTTCAGGACAGCTGCCCTCACGGATTGGACTTTGAGACCCCTGATGTAGATCTTGTTTTAACATATGGAATAGAAACTGAACATTTAACAGCGTTAAAACCTCCTTCCATCAGTGAGAACTTTGAAGATGAAACGAGGCTGGGTCTTCCAACATGACAATGATCCAAAACACACC